ACACATTCCCCCATGTCAACACCTCCGCAGTTGGAATGTGTCTTGTAATGGCTGGAAGGTCACTGTGAACTGTGTTCTTTCCTTTTTTGGTGTCTTATAAACAACGTTGCACGTTTCAATTGCTAATTTCATGGGTTCCAAGAAATGCAGTAGGGAATACTCCATAAATAACGGATGAATGAGATCAAAATTTCAACAATGTAATAAAAGCTTGATTAAATAGCTGAAAAAGTAACAATAAAAAACTCAGAACCTTAAAAGAACATAACCTCACCTATCTAAAAAATGCTATACAAAATGCAATCAAAATTTTATTTTATTTATTTATTTATTTATTTATTTTTGTTTTTTTGAGTTGGAGTTTCACTCTGTCGCCCAGACTGGAGTGCAGTGGCCGCTCCCGGCCACCGCAGCCTCGACCTGCTGGGCTCTGGCGATCCTTCCGCCTCAGGCTTCCAAGTAGCTGGAACTACAGGTGCGCGCTACCACGCTTGGCTAATTTTTGATTTATTGTAGAGATGAGGGCTCGCCAAGTTGCCCAGGTGGGTCTCGAACCCGCGGGCTCAGGCATTCCACTCACTTCAGCCTCCCAAAGCACGGGATTACAGGCTGAGCCACCGAGCCCAGCTAAAAACAATTATTTCAATCAAAGTTCACTCTAATTGAAGCTTTCCCCCATTTAGGTTAGGCCCATGACAGTGCTGAAAAAGTAAGATTTTGAGCTAATTAAACTTATATTTAAATCTGTCCTGAACCAAGCAAACTCCAGTTCTATGAACTTAGCCAAACTACCTAATCCACTGAAATCGATTCCTTGAGCATTAAAATGGGATTCATGGCACCTACCTCAGGGCTCTTCAGAAAATACATTTAAAGCATCTAGTCCCATTGAACTAAAAACAAGCAACACTTAAAACCACATGTTCTGCTTCCTTTGTGAAGATGGCTTCAGAAACACTAATATACAGAAATTCATAAAAGACTCATCATCGATGAAAAACCTTAGAGCAATCAGAAAGAGTCTGAACAAAGGCTTTTATAGCCTATTAGGCAGAGCCACAAATCACAGGTAAGTTACAGTTCCAAAATCTCTTTACACACTCAAATACTTAAGAGAATGGGTCCTGCAGCAGCCAGCATTGTCCACTGCTCTCAGATATATCACAGATATCGCCTTTTGAAAAAAAAGATAAAAACAAGCCCGAGTGTGTAAACATTTTTCACTCAATAATGTTCATTTTTGGTAATTTCATTTCAAATATGACATTTTATAACCCTGAAATCTTGATAAATGGTCAAAAATATGCTCTAAAAAGTGCAAACCCTAGATTACTGCTTTAAGATTATTCTGAATTCACGTTCAACCATCTTGTATTACCTTGTGAAATGCCTGTCATTAGCATGTTTTTCTGTTATTTCCATATTCTCACGAAAACCTGAATCTGAAGAGTTCTGTATATTTCTTCTTAAAGACCTTAATGCTCGTGTCCGGCGGTAGGTTTCAACTTCTGTAACTGAAGACCCATCCTTTAAGAAAAATTAAGAAAGCCATCTAAGTGTCTACATTTTTCTTTATAAAACCTCCAATTTAAACTGCTCCTAAAAGAGGTTTCTCTGATTACTAGTGACCATTGCTTTTCATGCAGAATCACTGCATATCTCCCCAAGAAACAAGTAATTATCGAGAATAATCACTTCATAATAAAGAGATATCAGCATCGTCTATGAAATAGCTAATATAATATGCACTGATGCTTTATAGTTCACAACAAGCAGTCCCTGTTTTGTTAGTCACAAAATAAGTCTAGAGAGTGTAGTTTTCCATCACTGACAAAAAGTTGTGGCCGGGCTCAGTACTCAGCCTGTAATCCCAAAACTTTGGGAGGCTGAGGTGAATGGATTGCCTGAGCCTGCGGGTTAAAGACCAGCCCCAGCAACTCGGCGAGACCTCATCTCTACAATAAATAAAAAAAAATTAACTGGGCGTGGCAGTGCACGCCTGTAGTTCTGGCTACTTGGAAAGCTGAGGTTTCTGGAAGGATCACTAGAGCCCAGATGCTGGGGTGGCAGCGAACGTGCCACTGTACTCCAGCCTGGGTGACAAGTGAGACTCCAACTCAAAAAAAAAAAAAAGGTTGTAATAGTTCGTGATAGTAGGTACTCATTTATTTTAGGCTACAGAAATAGAAACACCTCAGGAAGATATACAACATACATACATGCAACCAAGCACTTGTCACCCAACCTCTGGCAGCAAGGACCATCAGAATTGTAATTTTGGCTTAGGCAGCAAAAAGGAGTTATTACTATGTTTTGTCCAGTTTTACCCAGGTAATGCAACAACTGAATTCGAAAACTGTGTGGGGATGGTAACCTGTTACAAAAAAGCTTGGCAGAGCTTTGTTTGAGTACAATAAATAGATGAGAGGCTCACTAAGTCAGTGGGCTGCTTGACAAGCTACAGAGGTTTGGTTATAAAGAATTCGTGAGTTCAGACAGGCGCGGTGGCTCACGCCTATAATCCTAGCACTTTGGGAGGCGGAGGTGAGAGGATCGCCTGAGTTCACCAGTTCGAGATCAGCCTGGGCAACTTGGTGAAACCTCATCTCTACAATAAATAGGAAAAATTAGCCGGGTATGGTGGCATGTGTCTCTAGTTCCAGCTACTTGGGAAGGCTGAGATGCTGCACTCCAGCCTAGAAGACAGGATGAGACTAACTCAAAAAAAAAAAAAAAAGAATTCAGAAGTTCATATATACTTTCCTGAAATCACCAAATCACTGAAAGGGTATTTTTACCTTAGAAGTCAAAAATACACCAGGCTCAGTGGCTCAGCCTGTAATCCCGCGCCTTGGGAGGCTGAGGTGAGTGGATTG